CGCTCACAGCTCAGAGGGAGATGGAGCTATTTGCTCTGATCTCAGAGACAGTAGACACTTGAATGAATACCGTGGCATATAATAGTGGTGACGGTGGAGTGAGTGAACAAGCGAAAGGTGACGTTCTACCGATTAAACCCAGCAAAGCGGTGATCACAGTGGGTGACCATGGACAGCTAGTACACTCTATTGACGTAAAGCGAAACTAGAATTCCACCCGTTCACCACAAGATCTCTCTGTACCTGTTTGGCAGCATGAGGAGAGCAAATGGCGGCGTTTCTTTCGTTCATCGCTTGGACTCTCAGGTTCATTCCGGTCTGCATTCCACCCTAGTTTTCACTCTTCTCACAAGATCGTGTGTCACTATCCTCATCAAGGCTTAGTAAAGTTAGGGTATCCATATATTCGAATCTATCACGTCATTAGTGGTGGTCTCAGTCTCCGAAGCCCTATCTGGGCAAAGGTATAGGTTAGACCCAGAGTGGCCTTGGAAGTTTGGCAAAATGCCGGGTTTTGTGTCGGTTGAACCCGTTGCTAAGATTGACCTGGTTTAGTTTGGGTAAGGTGCATAGCATTTTCTTCCAACGTATTACGGGAGGTATTCCGCGACTGAAGGTTTTATTTATTTATTATTTGGCTTCTGCAGACTGGAACATGAACATGCTAGGCCAGTAGGCCTGACGTAAAGCTTGACTTAGCCTTTCGTATTATAGACATGTAGTCAGTAAGGCTTGGCTATTGACCATATGCAACAAAATACTATTGAGAATGTTTATCTTGACATTAAAGAATTTTAAATGTCAATTACAAATACTACTACCATTGTCTGCATGTAAAACCCAGCATGAATGAACGAAAATGAGAGGACAAAATAAGGTGCTTTGCTCTATTTTAATATTTTAATCTACTTATCATTTTTGTCCAATCAATGTGGACTGTTGTCATGTGATGGTAGTGATGATATGGTAAGCCTATAGAATAAAAGGACCTAAAACACTTGATTCATGGTATTAAAAATGCATATATTAAAAAAATGTCAGTTACTACTTAAAATACTACCCAGCATTGGTTATTGACTTCGTCACTCAGCTATAACTGTGTTAATATCCTAGTTAGGCTTATTATGTTTACTGTGGTTTATTTAGTATGGTGCAAAGGGGACATCTGCCCTCCTGGAATTCTGCTTACAATTAAACTCCCAATATAATGAGACAGGGTACACTGTAAATTACTTAAATATAAAGAGAGTTTTACAACTGGGTTTTATTGACCCATTTCATTTCAAAGGTTTTTTTTTTATACGTTATATGATAGGCTCAGAATGTTTCATCCTGCTTCTATTTTTAAACCTTCTCATTTGACATAAGAATATGGTTCACTTCCCTTATATGTTATTATTTTTCTTTGTTAGGAACATGGTTGATAGGTCAGGATTGTGCTAAATGAGTCTTAAAGCTGCTCATGATTGCAATTAAACTTGAACATTTTTTCTGCTGGGAATTATGTATTGGCACACTTGCCAAGAGGCCTAGGCCAACCTCCATGAACAGGAGAGGGGATCAGCTGAATGTGGTTAAGCCTATATGCTATTGAATCATGGGAAGGATTCCATCTCCTAAAATTAATTTCAGATGCAAATTGTGCAGAGCCAACAATGTAAATGATTCAACTGCTAACAACTGCACCAGCTTTGTTTTGTGGATTTGAGATTGTATAAGTACAAACAGCTGGGACACAGGGTTGAGGGAACAATCTGAAAATATAAAATAGGCCTATTAAATTTATGCTGCCTTATTACATTTGTTGCAGGTTGATTCCAGGAGAGGACTTCCAAAATAAGAATTGATTCCAATGTGTTCCTTGAGATCAAAATGGCTCTAAATTCTGAGATGCAACCTTTGAGCTTCCATGACTGGTACAAAAAGTGCTTAGTTTCAGCCTGAGACGACACATCTTATCACATGATATTGAATTGTGTTGACGGTGAGTCATTTGTCTCTAAAGGAATTCATGGTATTTCTTTCTAGTCTTTGTCTTCATCTAAAGTTTGCTCACAGTTCTTTTTATAATGTTAGTTTGTAAATATTTTCGTCATTTTTAGGAATATTCTCCCCCTCCCCTGACAAAAATGTTTCCTGGTTTCAATGCATTAGTGAAAGGAAGGAGAAGAAAATGGGATATAATCAATAATTGAGGGCTTTGAAGGCTTTAATAGGATGAAGGCAATGCTATTAGTTTCTGGTAGAGGAAATGTAGGAAAGCCACAACGGGAAAAGGCCAAGAAGATTCCTTAGAAATCCCCCTTTCCATCTATGGCTAGGCTACTTAAAACAGTGATGTCAGCAAAAGGAGCATGGATATTGTATGTTTGGACAGGTCAGAGTATGTGTCATGTAATCATGGGATAAGATGTCCAGTATATACCGGTATATTATTTCGATGCTCCTATATCATGATCATTTCCTTTAAAGTTCTGGGTCTCGGCCGAGGCTGCTTTCTGGGGGCCTGCTTTCTGGGAACACCTTCCAGACTTGGCGTCTGTCATATCGCTTCACTTTAAGGTACGATAAGGATGGGTGTATGAGTATTAGATCGATTGGGTGAACGCGGGGACGGGTGTAAGGCTTCCTTCATGTGGAGCTAAATTTTTTTTTCCGTTAACATTCACTTGCAACAGGCCTACGGTAGTCACAAAGCTATAAATAATGCCGCACTGATCTTTATACGGTACTAGTAATTGCCAGATGGGAAAAAGCATCCGTTCTTCATTTCTTCGTTTAATTTCTATGAGAAGAAAGGCGACGGGGCTAGTTCCACCTGCAGCTGTAGGCCCTTAGGCCCATTCATCTTCGATCCTTTCCTAGACCACGGTCGTGGTGGAGAATACGAAAGAAGGGGATGGTATGTCATCACACGTTGTCATCCGTATTCCATTGGCCCGTGGCGATGGCCAACAGGAAAAGCACGACGACCATTTTTATGGACAAAGGATTTTGAATACGAACAATTTAAAGAAATCGTTGTTTGTCTTTCAACTCATGTCTGCCTGTTTTATTGGGCGGAGAATCCATTGCCTTAAGCTTTGAGAGTCTATGTAGTATTACATTGTTTCCAGATAGACTTTAATCCCCCTACCCCCTCTCCGTGGCGCTGTTGCCTGCAGCGACATGAGAGATTTCTTGTTTTTACCATCATTACTTATGACGCCTTAACTAATTTGACAAGAAGCTTAACAGTAGAGGTGTTAGTTGATCAAGTCGTAAGATCAGTTTTAAGCACGGCAGATGCGGTGCCTGCTTAATCTGAAAGTGAGGTTGGTATAATACAAAAATCTGAAACGTAGAAGGAATTCATATCGACTCGGGCCATCTGGCACCACTTGTCATAATAAAAAAAAAAACAAGTAACCAAAGAGGTGCTTGTAAAGACACAAATGAATGTGTCTCTCTCGGTAGATGGGCCACGACTTCATTATGAGATCGGGACATTTCACGGATAGGGGTCATTTATGAGTGCAAGAAAAACATGACTATATTGTTATTCTCTAACCGTACCGCACGATTCCTCTAGCACATATTTTTTTTTTTGCGAATATGCAGGTTATGTGGGGATTCACCCTGTTCCCTCCGCCATTTCCTTCATTTTATGTTCGACAACGTACCAATGACTGAAAATTGATTAATATCGATCATATCAGGATTTTCACGTCAGCCGTGGACAAACTATTATTGTCTCTTTATAAAAAAAAATATTCGTATTTTTATAGTAGGAAAAACTTTTCAATCACCGTTTCTCTTGCACTGCCGGTTTGCCCTGGGAAAAGTAAATCTCTTCTGAAATTTTCATTGTGACCTTGCATCTCTTTATTATGTCATCTACGGTCACCAGCTCAAAGTGAGTCACATCCTTGAAGGGTCCTGTGACATCCACGAGCCTGTAAGTGAAGTTGACGACTCGATTAGGCCTCTATTGCTTGAAACGACATCTGTTGAAAGTGATAGAAGTACTATTTTGCCGAGCCACCAGTAGGGCCCATAGAAAAGTATGGAGCCCATGTTAATGGGAGTTAGTCATTCCGGAAACACTGCAGGAACAAAAGTACTCATGGCATGTCGACGGTATCTCGGTTTTTGTGATATTGTATCTTCTCTACGTTGTGAGCGGTTGGACTCTAGCTGCAATAAAATTCAGCCAGGGAAAAAATTGACATTCGGCCTATTGCGACTAAGGGAAATATTTTAGGTGTCTTTTCTCATTACCGTGCGAAAAGGTGAATCTTAAAATAGTCGTGAGTTATAATTTTTTTAATGAATAAAGAGTGAGCTTTCGTGAGTCACGCCAGAGTTTCAGAGGAAGAGGAGGATTATCTGGTCTACGGCCTTGAATGAGTCATCACCATCGAGGTGTGTCTCATGGGTGGAGTGGAGTAGGCCTACTTCGTATGATCGTACGATTCCCATTATTCATATCCCCGCTTGTCAACCCGGGATATTTCCAGGTGTTGGATGAGTCCGCAGTCCCAACGAGCCCTGGGCGCTTGGACTAAGATATATTGTAAAAGTCTCTCGGGATCGTAGCAGTTTTGAGTGCGCATGAGCGAGAGGCCACGTGCCCAAAGAGCGACTGCTACAGTCACTCTCACGCTCTGTTTCTCTCTCGCGTCATTTCCCATTCCATCTCTTCAGCCAGCGCTTCGAGTGATACGGATCATCACATCAGTTTAGTGTGATTCATCTGTGTATTTCAAAAGTATACATTTGGGGTCAGTCTGTCGCTTTTCACGAAGGTGAGCTCTGATTCTTTGTTAATTTTACCTAAATCGCCTGGTTACCAGACGGCAACATATCCTCCATCGCTCTTCCATTGGTTTCCGATCCTATCAGCATTTCTTGTTTTCAGTTTTAAAAATAGGATGGCCGTGGTTTTTCCCAAATGAATCGTGTCGAATCATTGATGCAGGTATTTGTGGCCTGATTGGAAAGGGACATGTAGTCATGAGATGGAGTATTTTTAGTTTAATTTGTTACCGGGTGTGGATTTTTGTGTTGCAGAATGAGATTGACTGAAGGGGGGTCGTATGGGAGTTTTCTGACGGCCGGGCCGGAAGAAGGCAATACCGGTATAGGCAGCGAGAGGAGGGACCAAGAAATGAACCATCCAAGGGCGACGGTGATATCCATGGCGAGCACGTCTACTGATGACGATGATGACACCTCTTCCGACCAGCTCCTTCCATATAATCACCAGAATGGTTATCATTACGGATATCCTGATGAGAATTTCGTCCCTCTTGAAGGCTCCAAGCCCCAGCGAAAGGAACCGAAGTTTCCGAAAGAAAAACTCAAGACTTTAGCCTGTAAGTTTCTTCAGCTGCTCGTGGTCCTGCTTTCTTTATGTGGAAAAATCATATAAGGCAAACTCAGGTAATGAATTTTGAAGCAAATCTCTCTCAATGGGTCAATCTCTGGGAATCTGTGGTTTTCAAAGAAATAGAAATTACAGGAAGGTTGAGGTTTATTTGGGAAGGATGTGGAATCTACATGACTTACTTCCCCTATTATTTCTGATGACAAATAAAATCATATTTAACTCTAAAGCATGCAACATCCCAATCAGGGCTTTTTTTTACCTGAATGATGATAAAATCATATTACAGTCATCAAGTTGACTGTCATGACCATTTGTGTTGTATAAGATTGCTGGACTTTTTGGACTGGAGGAACAAGTACCTGTCAATTATTGGGATAAAAAGAAAATACTGGTATAAATTGAGAGAATGTGTTTGTGTATGTGTTATGGTACCTTGATCCACAAATGCAATGAACTGTTCTCTAGTCCTCTTGGCATTTTCTCACAATATATGTGGAAACAATTAAAGTTGTCCATAACATTTGAGGAAAATCATACAAAATCATTATGAAAATTTTTATTATACTTCTCTTGACCATTTCGATGTGACTGGGAGCAAGAGAAGGAAATGTAAGTTGTAACATGTGGATGAAAATATTGACATTTCTAATTGGTCTATGACTGCCTGCACAAGGATCACCAAGGTGATATATATTCCCACTTACTGTGGGAACAAAACTTTTATTTCACTGATGAAAAACTACCAGCTGTGAATTCAAATTTATTGCTTACATTCCATGTATATAATTTTTTTTATGCAGGTGCTGTGTGGTTTTTCATGTGTGGGGTTATGAACATGACGTTCCTTGCCTTGGTTCACGATCGGGTGCCAAAAAACACACCACCCTTACCAGACATCTTCCTTGATAATGTGCAGACCCGAGATTGGGCACTCAGTGTCTCTGAATACATTCTTATGGGAGTCACCTATTCAACTCTTATCCTCATCTTTATGCACAAGCATAGGTATGTCATGTGGATTCAATTTTAATAAATCTTTATATATTTATATCTATATTTATATATAATTTTTTATTGCTTGTCTCATTTGGATTTTTTCCACAGATGGATTGTGTTTCGGCGTGTGTTCTTCATCATGGGACTTCTGTACCTAATGAGGTCCATTACATTCTTTGTGACTGTGTTGCCAGTTGCAAATCCCAATTACAAGTGCAACCCTCAGAGTAACGACACAACCCCAGCAGTGATACTCCAGCGGGTAGTATACCTCTGCACTGGGTTTGGGCTTTCCATCTCAGGACATCACACATATTGTGGGGATTACATCTTCTCCGGTCACACCATGATCCTTGTCCTTGGATATCTCATCATGCGAGAATGTGAGTCCATTCACACTTGGCCCCTTCAAGATCAAAAAGTGCAATGGCCAATTAATTTTTTTTTGGTTGTAGATAGCCCCAAAGGATGGTGGGTTTTGCACTATGCTGTCATGGGAGCCAGCATAAGTGGTGTGATCTTTCTTCTCATCAGTCGAGGTCATTACCTGGTGGATGTCATCCTGGCATATTATATCACCACCAGACTCTTCTGGATATATCATACGCTAGCCAACAATCCAACTCTACGTGTCAGTTTTCTTCCTTGTCTTGTCTTTACCATTTAACCTTATCCCCTTTCCTTTTTTAACTGTACTTTAACCTTTGTTCATGTCATCTCTCATACTGAAAATAACATTCTTGGATCTCTCTTGACTCTTCATCCCTTCCATCCCCTGAAATAATGCTGATGATGGGATTCTTAATGAGGCCATCAGTTTTATTGCAGAAGGCTTCAAATGCTGGGAACAACCTGGCAAATGAGTGCTGGTATCCGGTGTTCCTCCTGCTGGAACGCAACGTCAATGGAGTTCTTCCACGTAAATACAGTTGGCCCATCCCGGGTGTTCGTTACCTGTGTCGCATCAAACGAACGGCACACACTTCCTGATGAATGGAGAAGATTCTTGCATTTGTTTCTTTGGTGCTCAATTGTCTTCCCGGACCATGGACTGGCGTGGATCTTCCGCATCTGCGTTTTGTGGGGCTGATGTCTCTGTACCCTGCTGAAGGAGCTGTGCAATCTCATGGCAGGTCTGATGAGTCCAAGCCTTTCTCTTCCTCCCACCGAAGGAGAATCTATGTATTTTTTGTCTGTAATTTATCATATGGCAGGCCTTATGATCATTGTCATCATCATCTTTGTTCTTTCTCTCAAATCATCTGAGTTAAACAGAGATGCACGGTACAAGTCTTCCACTCTAAATAGGAAGTCTTTGTCTGAATCCGAAAGGAAGCCAGAGAAGTTTGTGTCATGGTCCGGCATATTCTTGCATTCTTGAAAATTGTGATAATTAGTAGCTGTGTTGCAACGAGGCTACATGATTGTTTTGTTGTGGTCATTTAGTTGTGTGAATAACGTGTCTCTGTTCGTGTGAGTGCCTGAATTGTGAATGTATGCTGCAGGGGCTTCCATGGACTTGTTAACAATCCCTGTTCATCCAAAGAAAGCAGCAGTTTATTAAAGTGCATTAGAATTCTGCTTCTTGTGCTGCGTGTCATGTTGTGAAGAGTTACAGCTTATCTGTGACCTCGCTTTTTCATATTGCCATGTTGCATGGAATTCTATTAAATGATTGTGACTTTTCCATTTCTCCCATTCATTTCGCTGAACTGCACCTTTCTTCGGCCCGACGATTCGTCGATGATCGTGTTTGCTCGGTGCACTGTGCTAGAGGGATGTGGTCTCGGATGATTTGCAAGGACGGTCGTGGCATGGAGTGGTCTGGGTTGGAATGAGCCCAGAACATGAGGCATGTCATTGCCACTTGTGACGAAGGTCATGCGAGATTGCCAAGCCACCGATAGTAGTGTGGGTACTCCTCATTCAAGTATCTCCTATCTTCAGCACAAAGTAATGCGTGAGGCCCTGTTCTGAAGCACAGAGGGGATTCTTCATGTTAATGTAATGCACTTTGTGAAGCGAGTAAAAGTGGACCATGCTATGAAAGGTCACCGAGGAAAGGACAGTAGTAAACGCATTCAAGGTCATCTGAGTACCTTAGTTTCGTAACTCGATTTTATCTGTGAAACGTAGCTATATATCATGAAGAGATCACTGATATATTATGTACTCTGTGACCCCAAAAAGCTAGGCCATCTTTTATGAAAAGGCTACGGCTGATTTTCTTGGAATCCAAGAATTCCTCCCTTTGCAGGGTTAGGAGAAATTCAAAGCCCCCACGCGTAATATGACTCTCCATAAGATGGCATTCTGGGTTCTCAATCTCCGATAACAAAATTCCACATGGTGTGGATAAAGCAGGAATTCGTAGTAACCCGTTTACGTTAGATCAGAAAGTTTCGCAACTGCTCAAAAGGTTACCGGTAGATACATATGACTCGTGACCGACAACAATAAAAGAAAATCGAACTAATTAAATGAAATTTGGTAGAGGAACTCGCAGCAGGCGAATTTTTTAAGGAGAAAACTCGCCAAATGCTCGAATGTAAAGGGTTTCCATTCGAGTCCACGCACGTCCTCTTATAATACGGAAGGGTTTATACAAAACGCAAGGCTTGCGTGTGGAATCGGGATGAGTCGAATTCCATGCGTGCGTCTGCCTACCTGCCCGAGCATCCACGTAGAGGACGCAACACGTACTAAGTGCGAAACGCCCTTAATCGTCTTCGCGAAATTCTCATCTGGTGAAGCAGACCAAGAAATCTCGAGTCACAGCGTCGCAAAACATCGTTTATGTATCGTGTTCTCAGGCAGCCCTTTGCTCGGTTGCTTCTAACAATCGATGTAGGTCTCGATACCTGTTCGAGACGTAACGAAGAAAGCACCAATCATTGCCGCATTTCACGATCTTTTTCGGATCGGGGATTCCACCTCCAACTTCTCTCCGATGCTCTCTCTCGTCGACTCCACGAAACGAAGTCTCGTTGCAGCTTCCGTTACGTTTTCGGCACAAGATGAGCATCGCGATGAGAACTTTTCCGGCCCTCTCGATCGAGGCATCGCCGATCGCATCTCGAACGAGATGGAGCGTTTCGTGTTTTTCTGTCGACCCGCTGCGACGGAAAAGGTGGATCGTAGAAACGTGCATTCTAAGAACTCGGAATGCAAAGGGATGCTGCAACGTTCGGTTCCCTCTTCCCTCCTGGCTACTTCTTTCCTCTTGGCCCCCGCATTCCGTCGACCGATTCCTCGAAGGCTCTCGTGAGTCATCCGGTGCGATCACCGCTTCCGATTTCATCCGGACGATCTCGAATCCGTCGGATTCGGCAGGCCTTCGGGCGAGCCGGTTCGAGCATCGACGACGGGACGACGTCCGCCTCCCGATGCCCGGTAGGAAAACTGAAAGCGGGGGCTCCCGAACGTAACCGCATTCCTTCGATCACGATCCGCTTCTGCCTCGTCCAGCCGTTCGCCCAGAACCCCTCGTCCCGTGGGCGAGTCCCCTCGTCCCGCAGATGGGACCCCTCGTTCCTTCCATCCCGTTCCGCGGGGACATCGATGTCCTCTCGTCGCCGCCTTCTATCGACCGCAAGAAGAAAGCTACTCTCGCTCGGGGTCGTCTTTGCCGGTTCGGGTGTTTTCGAAAGGTACGTGGAGCCGGTCTCGTTTCGTTTTCTTGGACTCGCCCGTCGACGTCGTCGCCATCGCGAGAGGCCGTAAGCCGCCTTTTGCGTTGTTTTCACGATGTCGACGCGATGTCGTCTGCTAATTATTCATTTTCGACCGTTTCCGGAAAGGCTTTGAACGTTTTCGAATCGATTTCGTACCTTCTTACGATGGAGTCGAGTCGTGTCGATGGAACGATCGAGAAGTTAGCGAGGGCGAATCGATGCGAAACCTTAAAAAGTCGATCGGAATTCACGATAGAAATGGGTTCCCTTAACGAACCTTGCAAACGAGAACGAAATACCGTCACTCGTTCCAACTTGCAGAACGGAACGGTCCCCGTTTCCCGTTCCCAGAATTCGGGACGCATCGCGACGAAGCGTCGCCGCCCGACCTTTGCACGGGACGAAGGGGACGAATGGGACGGGGCTCTCTTGCAAGCATCATTCGCGGCTTCTCGACTCCTCGATTCGCGAGAGGAATTCCCACGATGTAGGCGGAAGGAAACGGATGGAGCGCGAGGTCGACGTCGTTTCGTCCGATGAGGTCGACGTCGGGGGAAGAACGAGACGTCGCCGTGTCCACTCGACGACGGTGCGGAGACCGTATTTTAGAAGCCCCGAGGAAAATAAAAGTGTGGAATTCGTGGACGTACCGTGATTCGGTATTCGCAGCGGATCGAGAAACGACGGGGGAAGAAAAAGGAGGTCGGAGGACGGCAGAGAAGATCTACGATCGAGACGAAAGAGGAACGGAGGAACGGGATTAAGAGCCGTCAAGAGGGAGTCATCGTCTCCGACGTCCTTCTCCTTCTATTCCGGGATCGTCGGAGAATCTACGTATGCAATCGGGTCTTCGTGCACTCCAGGCACGCATCTCGAAAGCGATTCCGTCGAGGCACGATTTTCTCTTTCGAGACGACGACGAGGCGGTCGCGTTCTCCCCGTCTCTCTCGTCCGTCCTCGAGACCGATTTCTTCGAATCGATACTTTTCGAATGGATCGCGAACGTTAGAACGTCCGCGAAGGGATGCCTTCGAGAAAGTCGAGCGACCGGCGGCACGCCATCCGTCGAGGAAGACATCCGGAGCGTCACCGGAAAGGATTCGGTGTCGAACGGTTTCGTCTCGACGTCGCTGCGTATCGCACGGCCCGTCGACCCGTTTCCTCCGGAACGATTTTCGTGCGGGAGAAGACGGGTGCCGAGGAGGCAGGAAAGCGGAGCGAGGCGGCGGAGCATCCCGCGAATCGCGATCGTGCGGCCGAGACCGTCCGAAAACGGATCGCGGATCGCCCGAAATGCGTTCCGAGCGGGGATCGCGGATTCCCCGGCGAACGTCGCTGTCGTCGGGAGAAGACACCCGGAAAGGAAACGGAGCGAGGACCCCGGGAGGGGATGGAGAATCCGGATGTATCCGTACGACGAAAAGTATCTCGACGGATGTTTTCCACTCGACCGAAGTCGATGGCCGACGCATCATCGCGGATTCGCAGGAGAAAAGGGAAGGAGGAGGACGCGACGGGAGAGAGAGGGAATGCCGGGATGGCGGGATGGCGGGACGACGGGATGCCGGAGATGCCGGTCCTTTCCTTTCGCCCGTCTCCCACAGATGCTTTCGCCGACTTTCGAGCGAGCCTTTCACGCGTTACGTTCCGGGTTCGTCGATTCCTCACCGCCCGAAGTGCAGCCGACGAGGACGACGTTCCCTTCCCTCCTCGCGAGGCACCGAGCCCAGCGCGTCCGTCCGAACGGGGAAAAACACCGAGAGGAGACGGAAACGCTACCGATGCAGACTCTTTCTCGAGTCGCTTCGTTACCTTCTGCGCTCGAGCGAGCCGAACTCCGTTCGAATTCCGCAGAATGCCTTTAGGATCCTTCGCAGAGACGGAGGAGGGGGGGGGGGGGGGGGGGGGGANNNNGGGGGGAGTGGGGGGGGGGGGGGGGGGGGGGGGGGGGGGGGGGGGGGGGGGGGGGGGGGGACAGACAAAAACAAACAAATTAGCCATTCGAGGCGGGAATTAACTGCCTCCCGTCGCCCTTTCCGATTTTAAGGAATGCATCGGAGGACGAATTCTCTCATCCTTCATTTAAAGTTGTTTTGAGAGAAACGGCAGGGATGTATGAGGCAGTAGACGCGTCCGAATCCATGTATACACCGGTACCATCCTGGATAAAAGGAACTCGTCACAACGAGCGATGCGGCATCCCTGAATTCTTCCCCTCTCTCTGCACTCCAGTTTGAATTGCGATCCTTCGTATCCTCACGATAGGTGACGTTGTGTCGCGTCTTGCGGCTCGATCGCGGAGCGTCACGATAAAACCATTTCCTCGTTACGACCGTCACGACCGTAAACCGTACGAACGGACGCACGAACGTCATATCGCTCGTACGAGTCTCTCGTCTGCGGAATCTCTCGCCGCGGATGGAATGCTCTCGCGAGGAAAAAGATCCGAGACGAGTCCGGAGAGAATTTCCCCTTTCGACGGGAACGTGACTCGGGTCACGGAACGGGAACGGGACTCGGGTCACGGAGCGGGAACGGGACTCGGGTCGCGCATCGACCTCACTTCAGACGTGTGGCGTGCTCCAGCCGAATGCGTGCGAATCGGCCGATCGGCGAAATGCTGGACGAATCGACGAAATGGAGTTCGGAGACGTCGTCTGAAGTGAGATTTCGCAACGAAATGCGTAAGGGGAAAGCGGCCAGAGGGAATAAGAGAAACGGTACCAGCGTCTTCGATCGAGCGACCGTATTCCTCTGTTCATCGAGTTTTCTCTGGATTGCCCTATGGCAAGAAAACTTTGCTCGACGTACTTGGACGCCCCGAGGAGTTCCTACTCCACATTTCGTTACATAAACTCCTTGTTGGTGCTTCTTTAGCATCATCAGTCGGTGGATCGTTTCTCGTTCGTCGGGAGAGCAAAATTGGCACAATTTCCCA